TGCAGAAGGAGCTGCCGAGGATGAGGCCGCTCCCCAAGCTGCCGCAGCCCGCGGAGAAGACCGCATTCAAGAAGGAGCTGAACAACCGCGAGGACATCGAAACGCACCAGATGGAGGCTGTGCAGAAGGAGCTGCCGAGGAAGAGGCCGCTCCCCAAGCTGCCGCAGCTCGAGGAGGAGACCGCACTGAAGAAGCGCAGGCCGTGGAGGCCAACGCAGGAGATGCACCGGCGGTTCACTACACGGGTGGCGATCTGGAAGTGCATGAAAGGCCAGTGCGCCAATTTCGGTTTCAGGCGGACCTGCAACATGTGTCAGGCCGACGCGCCTGTGGAGACGCAGTACCTGCACAGGAGGCAGCTGGAGGAGTTGTCGCACCTTTACCAGTTCACGGAGGACCCGGAAGAGGACCCCCGGGAGGAGCTGGAGAACTTCAACGAGGAGAGCGCGCCTGACCCACCGCCGTGGAAGCAGGCAGCGCGCAAGAGTCGCTGGAGCAGGAGGTCGGCTTGATCGGCACTGTCGCGAAGCACCCGAAGCTGATCGACAGCACCAGGGACAGCGCGCTGCGTGTCAATGCGGTGGAGTTCTTCCCCTACGCGCTCGGGGAGGACAGCCACGTGCTACTAAACAAGGACGGCCTGCACCAGTGGTACGACGCTGATTGTCAGCAGGATGGAGTGCAGTACTTCATTGGAGTTCGCGATGGGCAGGAGGTCAGGGCGCTCTTTGACTTCTACGGCAAAGAGCTCGACCTACCAGATGGGCTCAAGATTCAAGCACCGGCCGTGGCAGGGTCGGGGATGGCTCCTGAAGAGACTGGCGACCAGCTCGAGCAGGTTGGTGGCGAGGTCTCTGCTGTTCAAGGCGTTGCTGCGGTGCCAGAACGAGCTCCAGAACATCAGGAGGATGACGGGCGAGATGCAGGCATAGAGCCAGCGGTGTTCCAGAGCGAGCTTGATCACCAGGACGCGATCGCAGAGATGAAGTACCTGGAGAACCAGCTGAAGAGCTTCGAGGAGTTCCACGAGGACATGTACAACGAGGACGTTGTCAGCTGTGATGGTCTTGGCTCTCAAGCAGCGGGTTGCCGCGCATCTCAGCGCATCGGCGCTTCTCTCATCAGCAAGCCCAGTGGGGCAAGTTCTGATTCTTCCGAGCCTGACGTCTCTCAGCCCATAGGGGCAAATCCTGATTCAGCTAAGGACTCGGACTTTAACCTCGTCGGCAAGGGCATAGGCGCCGGTCCCCAAGCGTTGCGTTTGAGCTCTTGCGTGACGGCCCCAGGGGTGCTAGACCCCTGGCCTGTTGTCTCTGGCAAGGGCAAGGACAAGTGCAAGGATAAGAATAAGGGCAAGGGCAAGCTCAAGCCGAAGGACAAGCTCCAGCAGGCGGAGGAATGGCTGGACGGCCTCTCGGAGGCTCAGCTCGACGAGTACGTCTCCTTCAGGCTCGGGCCTGACTGGAGGGCCCTAGTCCAGGCCAGGATCGACAGCGAGAAGCGGCGGCGCAGCCCCTGAGCAGCCTGGCGGCCGCGCGTCGCGGCGCCCTTGCGGGCTGTGGGGCCCATCCCTCGTCGCCGCCGCTTGGCCCGCCGCGTTGGCTTCCTCGTCGCCGGGGCTGGGCGCTCGCTCGCTTTGTTTTGGTTTCCTTGGGTTTCTGGCTTCCTCGTCGGCGTGCCGGTTTCCCTTCGTTTTCTGGGCATCGGCCCACCCAGCGTCGTGGCGTAGGTCCGCGGCGAGGCCATTGGCGGCAGGGCCTGGAGACGCAGGCCGTATCATCAGACGCCTCAGACGCCTCCTTCTCCTCCTCCTCCTCCTCATAATCCTCCTCCCCCTCCTCCTCCACCTCCTCCTTATCTTCCTCCTCCTCCTCCTCCTCCTTCTCCTTCTCCTCCTCCTCCTCCTCCTCCTTATCCTCCTCCTCCTCCTGCTTTCCTCCTCCTCCCCCCCCCTTCTCCTCATCCTCCTCCTCCTTCTCCTGCTGTGTCGTCCGCGGCCGCAGAATATAGGATATCGGGGAGGGAAGGCAGCTCCCCCAAGGTCAGCTCCCCCCGGGCACGAGAAAGCCTGGCCAGACGGGCCCACGTGAGGCTCGTCGTTGGCTGCCCTCGCGCGGGGGGGGAAGAGCAGCTGCGGAGGCGCGCGCGCGCGAGGGGGGGGGCGGAGGGGCGGGGGAGGACGAGCAAGGACGCTCCGCTGTTGGCGCGGAAGACAGCTCCCATCCAGCGATGCTGCGTCGACGGGGCCCACCCCCGGGCCCCACATGTCAATGTTGTTTCCACTGTCGCTGCAGGAGTGCATTTGTGGCATAGTGCGTATGGCCATGGGTCCAGCCCTCAGACACCCGTTTTCAGCGTTGAGACCGGAGGGCGCCGGTGGTCTCCAAGCATGGGCGCGGGTTTTTCTCCGCTCGGTGGGAGCTTTTTACGCCATTTGCGGGATAGCATCGAAAGTGACGAACGAGCAACACACACCCATACCCTCAGGGGGGTCGTTGGGAGGAGGACTGGCTATGGGTATGGGTGCGTGTCGTCGGACCCCAGAGAACGCTCCCGCTCGAGCGGGGACCCCCGTCCGACAACACGCACCCATAGCCCTCTCCGACCCCTCTATGGGTATGGGTGTGTGTTGTTGGTTCGTCAAAGTGCAGAGGCACCGGCGAGCGGGGGGATAGGGAAAGGGGGCGGGGTCCGACATCTGTTGCGCGCAGTTCGCCTCGGCCCCGACGACCAAAAAACAGAAGACGAGGGCGGAGCACGGACAGGGCGGAGGCGCGGGCGACAGGGGGGACCGCGCAAGGAGGGCGCAGGACATCTGCTGCCCCGCAGCCGGGCGCTTTTCAATTTTTTCCGATGCGTTGGCGCCTCTCCAACGCCGGGATGCGCCGAGGGAGTCAACTACGCGAGCTGCTTCGCTATCCCCCCCCCCTTCGGTCGAAACCGATGGCAAGGATGGCAAACCTTCCCGAGGTCACCACTGCATCCTTGCCTTGTGGGCCCACCCTTAACCACTTTCGATGGCCAGCTCCGGTCGAGAAGCTCCGACATGGGCGTCAAAGGGTCTTGCATCCTTATCGCGCATTCGTACAATCAGTTTTGATCGTCGTTTTGACCCCCCGCTGCCATCGGACCCGCAAAAGAGGGAGCCAGGTGGGGGAGGTGGGGCACGGTGGGGCGAGAAAGGGGGGAGTGGAGGGGGAGGGGGAGGAGGAGGAGGAAGAGGAGGAGGAGGGGGAAGAGGAGGAGGAGGAAGAGAGGAGGGAGGAGGAGGAGAGGAGGAGGAGGAGGGGGGGGAGGGGGAGGGGGAGGAGAAGGAGGCGGAGGAAGACCAGTGTAAGCCCAGCGCGCGTCATGTTGCAATAACCCCCCAAAAAAAAATCCGTCTCCCCGTGGACGCTGGTTGAAGTTTTTCGCCGCTGCAAGTGGCATGCGGGAAACGCCGTGGGCGGCGCTTCAGGGGGCGCGCGCCGGTTTCGGCCAGAGCAGGGGGGCCCGGGCGGGACCCCGAGCCCTCGTGTGAAGTCCGGCGTGTTTCCCTACAGGAGGAATATCCAAAAACAACTAAAACATAGTCAGGGGGCCATTTTTCGAATGTTTGTGCATCTTTTGGAGTCTTTTGTGACATTTTTGATTTTTCGTCCCAAATCCGCCTGTAGGAGGACGTGCCCGACCTAACCTTCGTGTTCTTCGCTTTTCGCGCCCGCGCGCAGCGCCGGCGTCGAGGAGTGCGGCCCACGCGCGCACGTCCGTGCAGGACCTCGGGTGCCCTGCGGGCAGTGGCTCAGCGGAAGACATCCGTCCGAGAGGCTCCAGTCGTCCGCAGGCGCGCCGACGGTGTGTGAGGTAACGGCAGTGTGGGAAACCCATGGTGGAAAAGCGTGGTTTGTTGCCAGACCAATGGTAGGAACGCGTGGATCGTGCTTACCTGCAGCTCGCTGTGCTGTTGTCGCTCGATCCATTCGCAGATCTGAAGTGTAGGAAGCGGTGGTTCGTGATTTCCTACATTCTGCTCCGCGGCAGCTCGGTGTCACATAAACCAGATCCCCAACCGCACCGCACCGCTAACCAAGCACGCCGGTAACGCGGCGTTGGCTGTGCCTCAGAGGAAAAGGAGGAGGACGAAGAGGAGGAGGAGGAGGAGGAGGAGGAGGAGGAGGATGAGGAGGAGGAGGAGGAGGAGAGAAGGACGAGGAAAGAAGGGCAGGCGAAGAAGGCAGGAGGAGGACGAGGAGGAGGAGGAGGAGGAGGAGGAGGGAGGGGGAGGAGGGGAGGGAGGAGAGGAGAGGAGGAGGAGAGGAGAGGAGGAGGTGGAGGAGGAGAGAGGAGGAGGGAGGAGGAGGAGGAGGAGAGAAAAAGGAGGAAGAGGGAGGAGGGAGGAGGAGGAGGAGGAGGAGGAGGAGGAGGCGAGGAGGAGGGGAGGAGGACGAGGCGCAGGGGCCCCCGCCCGCGCGGGCGGCCCCGCTGCGCCCAGGAGCGGGGCATGGTCGCGCGCGTCGGCGCGCACTTCGAGCTCCCGGGGAGGCCCGGGGTCCTGCTGCTGCGCCGCGAGGCGGTGCGAGCGGAGCAGGGCAGGTGCCCAGAGGAGGAAAAGAGTACGCATCGACCCCAAGAGGAAGAGGCACCCACCCTCGGAATCACGTCGGGCGTGGCCCTCGTCTACGGGAGGAATGTTCGAAAATAGTCAAAACACAGTCTGGGGACGATGGTTTGACTATGTTTGGCTATTTTCTGGCGTTTTGGGGGGTATTTTCATTTTTAAAATTCGCCTGTAGGAGGACATACCCGGAACCTTGCGACTCATTCTTTTTCGAGCCCGGCGTTGTCGCCTATTTTCGGGCCCCGGGACCCTCACAGTCGATGGATCCGGTTGGAAAACTTGCGCAGAAAATATGGGTCTAAGGCCGCTCCAGTCGAGATGCTTCAGCGTCGGATCTCAGGGCATCTGCCGCTGCCCTTCCCTCTTTTCCCTGCCTCTTTCGACCCGGGAGGCCCTCGTCGCCACCTCTGGATCCGCCTCGCAGTCCTCAGAAGGCGCCCCGGGAGAGGCCCCCGGGAGTGGTCGGTCTCTACCCTGACCTTCCAGAGAGCTATTTTTTAGCACGGAAGGCCTAAAAACCAAAAAAACTAAACGAAACAGCCTAAAACCAAGACATTGAATAGCTCTGGGATAGGTTTTTAGGTCGGGTGTTATTTTTTAGCCCTCCTGGAAGGTCTGGGTACTCTTTGGCTTCCCCAGGTGCGAGAGCCGCTTCTGGCTGGGCCCGCCGCCCGGCGGCTCCCGGTCGGCGGCGTCTCTGGGTCTGCTCGTGGCGCTCGCTGCTGCTGCTGCTGCTGCTGCTGGGGATGGCCTCGAGTTGCACGACTGCCCTGCGCTGTCTTCTCTCATCCTCGGCTTCTGGGGCCGAGGAGGAAGCGGGAGCGAGAGGAGGCGGGGGGGAGGAAGCGAGGGAGGAGGAGGAGGAGGAGGCGGAGGAGGAGAAGGGAGGGAGGGAGGACGCCCCTGTGCCACGTGCCATCTCTTCTCCCATCCCACCCTTCCTTCCCTCTTCTCTCCTCCCGCCGTCGGTCCCCCCCCCCCCCCCCACGGGGGCCATGCACCCTGCCAGCGGGGCCTTGCGGACCGGCGGGTTAGCCTCCGATGCGGATGGATGGTCGTGCAAACCGTCAGTGCCGCACCCCTCCTCCTTCTGCCCCTGCTTCTCACGTTGCGCGGACTACGGCCAGCAGATCGCAGCGTCGAAGTCCTCCTCCTCCCCCTCCTCCTCCCCCCCTCCTCCACCTCCTCCTCGTCGTCCTCCTCCTCCTCCTCCTCCTCCTCCTCCTCCTCCTCCTGCCCATCCTCCTCCTCCTCGTCTCCTCCGATGTTGCTGTCGCCCTGCCCTCGTCCTGACCAGGCGGCTCGCCTCCTCTACAGACCCCTGCCCGCGCCGGCGCTGAGGGGCGACCCCTGCGCACCGCGGGCGCGGCGCCGCTTGTCAGAGCAACGTCAGCTCAGAGTAACGTCAGCTTGTGATTCACAACTGGCCTCAAGTCGGGCCTGTCCCTCTACAGGATGGATACTCGAAAATAGTCAAAAATAATATGGGGACGATTTTTTGACCATTTCTGACAATTTTGGCGCACTGTTTGACGATTTTTCATTTTTCGCCCAAAATCCCCCTGTAGGGGGACAGGCCCGACTTAAAACTGGCCCCCCCCTCCCTCCCAAGGTTGATGAACAGACCCCGCAGTTCGCGAATTGAATGTTTCAGTTACGCGCGCTGGGGGGTCGTCGCGGGCGCCGCCGATGGGAGCGTGTACCCGCCTGCACGGCAGCCTCCAAACGATTGCCTTCCGTATCTAAGTTGTACTAGGAATCGACACATCCGAGGCGAAGTTCCGCCCCTCCTCGACTGATTACTGACGTGCCACAGTCGTCTTCGTCGTGGTCGTCGTCGCCGCCGCCGCACCGTCGTCGTCGTCGTCGTCGTCGGCGTCGGCGTCGGCGTCGGCGTCGGCGTCGGCGTCGGCGTCGGCGTCGGCGTCGGCGTCGTCGATCGTGGAGGGCCTACGCAACTCCCCCCCCGTGAGGCATCCGCAGTGCGTCGTCGTCGTCGGCGTCAGCGTCGTCGTCGTCCACTTCAGCGGGCTTGCTTCCGCAGTGCGTCGTCGTCCGCCGCCGTCGCCGCCGCCTCCGCCGTCGTCTTCGCCGTCGACCTTCAGCGGACCTACGCAGCAACCCGCACTACACCGTGGGGCATCCGCATTGCGTCGTCGGCGTCTTCGTCGCCGTCGTCGTCCAAGGTGGCCCGGCCCTGCGCATCTCCCCCCCCATGGGCATCCGCAGCGGCGCACGCGCGCGTCGTCGAATGTCCCGTCGTCGGCCTTGTCGCTATCGTCGTCGTCGATTACAGCGGGCCCACGCAGCAGCATCCCCATAGGTGATATTGTAGTGGAGGTGGGGAGGGTGAATGGGGTGGTGAAGGAAACAGGGGAGGCGTTGCCGCCTGCCCGCGCCGATACTCCCACCATTTTTCGCTGCTTTTTGCATAACCATGTCAGCACCGCCCGCCAGCTGTGAGGCGCCTTTTCCTCCAGCCTCCTCTTTCTCTTCAGCCTATAGCCTTGCTTGCCCAAGCGCCCCGCTGTAGCGGAGGCGCTGGTTCCCCCCCCGCTGAAGGGGCGCCGCTTGCTTCGCGCCTGTCGCCGTCCAGCTGTAGGCCGGGTGTCTGCCCTAGTCACTGGCGGAGCCGCGTGGTTTCCTTCTGTTGTGGCGCCCAAGGTCAACATTGGAGCATCGACGCCAGAACCGTCTGGGGGTCTGAGGTGGCCAAGCACTGGTTGCAGGGACCGATTTTGAGCGGATTTGATTTCGCCATCCCGAGTGATCGACGCATTTACTGTAGATTCGTGCCGTTTTTTCGCAGCGGCGACTCCGCCGCGGGCGTTCAAGGTTGAACGCCGCCAGTGGCCCAGGTTCGGTTGGCGCGGGAAGAACAGTTTGATCGCGAACGTTCAGGGTGGAACGATCCACGGGGTGGCAGAAACCTACGCCGAGTTTGTCACGACACGAAACTGCCGTCATCATATTTCTTAGGGCCAGATTTCGATTGTCTTGTTATGTGCGACTTGGTTTGTAAGTGTGGCCGCTGTTCGTTTTGCCGCCCCGAGGGTTGCCCCGCATCACCAGGTCTGAATAATGGGCGCGTGGTCACACACAGCCGTCTTCGCACTGATCTGTACCGTCGCCATCAGGCCATTGGATGGACGACGCCACGCGTGCTTCCGTTCTGATATAGCCTAGTGCTCCGCTGCGCGATATTATCTTAATGTCCTCCGTTTCCGGTTGGTTTTGTTACGGGTGTTAGGTGGGCCGTAAGGGAGGAGCGCTCAAGAACGTGTGTTCCGCGTGTTCTTCCGCTGGGTCAGGCTCAACACGCGTCGGCCCGACGCACACCAAGCACTTCAAAGCGACAGAGCATCAACTTCCCGAGTTCTTGCCAGCTTCTCGTCCCACGAAGCCGGGCGACAAGCTATCAGTTGACAGGGCATCGCGTGTCGGCGGGGCCGCCGCCGCGACACGCTGAGCCACATCTCCCGACCGTGCACGCGACGCTACCGCCCGTGCTCCTGGCCCCTTTGTGTGTTTGTTTCGTGTTCCTTCTCGTGGTCGTCTGTGCTGCTCCTGCTCACAGCACGTGACTGCCCATCGAGCATCGACGAGTTTTGGGCGTTGCTTTCTTATGTGGAACAGTTTTTCTTCGTTGCGTTAGCCGCAGCAGGCCCAAGGGCAACAATGGTTACGCTTAGAATCAACTTGGGCTCATGGTGGGCAGTGTGTGATTCGTCTTCCGTTGCTCAAATGCCATGGAGCTTCAGCTGCGCCATGCCACTTGGCGTGACGCACGCACACACATTATGCAGCTGCGTGCCCGGCCACGTACTGGTTTTTGACTCGTGACTGCAGGCGTGGGTGTGCTGGCGGGTTGGTCCGCTGGTTGACAGCAGCGGCAAGCCCATTGACGAGGGCAGGAGGAGGAGGATTAGGAGGAGGATTAGGAGGAGGAGGGGGAGGAGGAGGAGGAGGAGGAGGAGGAGGAGGAGGAGGAGGAGGAGGAGGATCAGGAAGAGGAGGAGGAGGAGGAGGAGCAGCAGCATGCGGGGATGGATACGTCACGGCCTCAGTCCTGGCCTCCGTCACTGCAGCGGCGCTAGTGCCCATGGCGCGGTGGCTGTCTACCCAAGTGCGTGGCCGTGGTGGCTTGGCCTTGCTCCGCACCGGGAGTAAGACGATGACGGGGATGAGAAGGCGGAGGAGGAGGAGGAGGAGGAGGAGGATTTTTTGTTTTTTTGCTGCAGGCGACTGCCACACTAAGCTCCCGCGGGGATTAGAGGGTAGGCATGAAAATGGCGGGCACACGAGGCCCTACTTGCCGAGGATGACCAAATTGTTAAACGAGTTTAACGAGAGCGTGAAGAAAATGCCGGATCTATGAGCATGGTGGGATAAGTTTCCAGACCCATAGCGTTACGACGAAAGTTCGAAAGTGATTCAAAATCCCTGGAGTCTTGAACCCCCTCTGCATATTGCGCCCCCCCATGGGAGGGAGGGGAGGAGAAGGGGAGAGGGGTTGAAGGAGGGAGGCATGGAGGAAGCGAGGGAAATGGAGGAGGAGGAGAAGTCATCCTTTTCATCATTGATCATCGACCGCGCCAGGAGGGGGCAGGGGGGGCGGGCCGACGCCTCCGAGGCGATCCGGAGCAGGCAGTGGAGCAGGTCGCGGCATGACCCCCCGAGGAAGAGGAGGATGCGGCGGGGTATGAGGATAGCAAGGGGGAGGGGAGGGAGGAGGAGAAGGATGAGGAGAAGGAGGAGGAGGAGGAGGAGGAGGAGGAGGTGGTGGGGGGGACGAGGATAGCAAGGGGGAGTAGGAGGAGGAGGAGGTTGAGGAGGAGGAGGAGGACCAAGACCAACACCAAGAAACGCTGGGGACTCCAAGGTCAGACAGAGCAAACATAGAAGACAACAAAAGTCCCTGCGTGGGCGTGAGCCCGCTGAATCCAAGACACCACGGAGGGCCCTCAGCTGGAGGGAGTCACCCCCGCTGGCCCCGAAGGTGAGCCGCAACGCGCGGAAGTCCACGCGGGGTGCCTGCGGGCGCCAGGATCACCTGCTGCCTACGTCTGGCTTCCCGCTGCCACCGACGACCTTGAGGCTGAGGCCGCCTGCGGGTCTCCGTGGACCTCGGCGCCCTACCCCCGTTCCTATCCTCGGCGGCAGCAGCAACTCTCTCTTCCTCCTCCCCAGCCCCCCCCCCGGACCCAGTCCCCGCCGTCCCCACCACAAACCCATCCCTGCCCACTCCCACGCGGATGTCCTTGACAACTTCGCGTTGCACAAGTTGCCGCAGACGGACGCTCTGCTGTAGCGCCAGCGGGAGCGTGGGAGGCGAGATTGCCTCGTGGTCCTTGGGAGGTGGGAGTGGGGAGGGCTCAAGGGGCCTCAGAACACGATACGCTGACGCGGGCTCCACTTCCATCGTCTTGCTCTCTGTCTTCTCTGGGACCTCCTGCCGACCACTCGCGGGGCGAGACTTTGGACACACCAGCACATCCAATGAGCTTGCATTCCCACTGCTCACACTCGGCTGACCCCCATCCAAAGTGCTCATCCGATCAGGTACCTCGGGCCTTCCATGAGTTCTAATTGACATATCACTATGCTCTCCAGCTCTCTTCCCAGTCAGCTCTGAAGTAGATGGATACGAGGATGGAACAGGCTGCTCTCTCATGCTCAACTCACCTACATCCGACACCACGGGACAGCTCGACTGCGCACATCTCTCTTGGTCCAGCTGCTGATCCTGATGCATTGGCGACAAGGAAGGTCGAGTGTATCCCTGCCACCGCGTCGCCCATCCTCGGGCCTCGGGTATGGAAGTCACAGTTAGCATCTCACGGTCGACCTCACCAGCATTCCCATGATGCTCTCCCAGACCAATTCCAGAGCGAATTCTATGAGCACTGTGGGTAGGTTGGCTCCCTCCTGGGCCCCCTGCAACAGCAAAGACCACAGCTCCCAACTTCCCCACATCTTGCTGATGGGAGCCGCGATCTGCCCCTGCAGATACCCCCGCGGCACCGAGCCCACGAGGCGGCTGTGGTCAGTCTCGGCGAGGATGGCCGTCCCGATGGCCTGGAGCTGAGGCCCCGCGGGATGGTCGGCGTGGAGAGATACGCGGACGTCCGCCTTGCCCTCCATCTTCTTGCTGTGGTCGCCCGTGGGAACTTGTACCGAAAAGTGAGCCACGTACTCCGCGATGTGACTCGGGGGCTTCTGGCGGACGTGATTCTGCCAGAACTCGTTCATGACACTCATGCCTGTGCCGTCCCCGTGGTCTTCTGCACGCTTCTTCGCCGCACACGTGGCTATGTCGAAAGCTGTGGCAAACCGCGGGACGGCTGACCCCAAGTCCACCTCGGGGTCCGTCTTCTTGCGCTCCTTCAGGTCGGCAGTCAATTTCGTGTAGTGCTCGTTGCCCGGGATCCCCACGCGCACGAGCCAGCCCTCCTTGAGAAGGAGGTACGTCCGGATGAGGATGCTCTCCATCAGCGCGAGGTCTTTTGCATTGATCAAGCTCAGCCTCGCCACCGCCTCCAGCAGGCCCTTCTCTTTCTTCGACTGCTGCCCGCCGCCTTTGCCGCCTCCTGACCCTGGAGCATCGGTTGTCTTGGCACCCTTCTGGGAGGGCTCGCCGTCGTTGCCTCTATTCGTGCCGCACGCTGCGAGGGCCCACATCGGCGTCTCTCCCTGGAACAGGTCGTCGTCCAACATCGCGACGTCGAGCTCTGGCACCCCGAAGCGGCTGCACTCCTGGTCTGAACGGCAGGTGGGTACAGGCGTACTCCGTACATGCCTCGAGAGATGTCCAGTTCGAGCCACGAAGGCCACAGCGAACAATCTCAAGACGATGTAATGGCCTCAGCGTGGACGCTTTCTCCCCAAGACCTCCCCCGTGTACAGGGGCCACAAGGGCCCCATGTAGATGCTTCTGGGCGCTCTTGTGGTGCCACAGGACCTACCCGCACAATATGCAGTGGTTAGTGACCGTAAGGATATTGGAGAGTTTAATGGTACCGTTTACTTCTCTGAGATGCTTGACTATCCCCTTTCTTGACGCAAACGCCGCCCCACTGACCTCTTCCTCCATCGGCCACGGACGAGGGTACCACAAGGACGTGTTGGGAGCTCCTTCTCCCAACGCAACAGGGGGTCCCCAAGCACGTGTAGTCCAGGAGGGGCCACTTCGACATCAGAGTGCCGGCTCCGAAGACTGCTCACAGCCACTCTGGTGAAGTCCTGGCCTATCTCGCTAGTGCACAGCTGGAGCAGAGGCCCACCCGCACGAGCCCGCCACGAGGCCGCGTCCCCGTTCCATTTAGTAAGCCCCACGTAGAGCTGACGAGCCCACGGGTTGCTCGGCATCGCTCGGACGTGTGCATTTTTTTCTCGGCGAGGACCATCGAGGACCATCCTGGACCATCGAGCAACAAAAAGCACGCACCAAACCGAAAAATGCACAGGAAATGGACGTCCGAGCGACGGCAAGGTTGGCCCCAGCAGACAAGGACCCATCCAGCAGGACGGCCTCCTCCTCTTCCTAAGACATCTTCCCGAATGCAGCGGCGATCTGGGCGCCGTACACACGCTTGTAGCCATCGAAGCCGTCGCACTCTCAGTTCGCTCGCAATGGGTGCCAGCCTCCGCCACCTCATCACCTCCGTCGTCATGCTCCTCGTCTTGCCGTCCTCCTCTTCCCACGTCGCTTCGCTTCGCGTCGCTCGTCTAGCAAGACCAGCCACTGTCAGCTCAAGGGTGTGCACCTGCGAAGCAGTCGGTATGAACGCATCCACTTCAGACAAGGCCGTGTTCATGACATGGCAGAGACGCGCACATCTTATCCACCGATGAGGCACTCCTCTCTGATACTAGAAACGTCCAAGACGACACAACGCCATCTGCATGGCTCTCACACGCTTCACAAGCTCGGCGCTGAATGTCTGGGATGGGGCGGGGTAGGGTCCTAGGTATCCGACTTCATCTGTCACACGAGTCCCGAGATCCCGAACAGCAGCGGCAACACATCTACGATAACTAATGGGGGCCTTCAACAGAGCTTCTTGCTTGCTGGCACTCCTTCGAAACCCAACACCCTCGAGCTCCTCATCTAGCATCCTATCGTTGGTGTCCAGAAAGGCCCTGGAAGTGATCAATCCCAAACGGAGGCCCGACGATACGTTTCTTGAGCAAGTCGTCCGCAAAGTTTGGAGCCCCAGATACACCCTTGGAGGCCCCATGGGAACAGCATGTGGAATAGTTGCCCAAAGACAAGCCTCCCTCTCCTCGTCGTAGTCCGGGAACCTAGCAAGCCATCTATCGACAGGAGGTCGGACGACCCTTACAAACGACCGCACAGCGTAGTGGTTCCCCTGGAGGCGAATTTCCACACCCAGGCATGAGGACGAGCGGCCCATCAGAGGATGGCAAGAGACAGCCCGAACATCGTTGTCCTTGGCGGCAGAGACGAACATCATTGGCTCGAACTAGAGTTCTGCTCGCCTGATCTAGCTTAGACCATTCTGTCCAGGCAAACACATTCGTAAGATCTTTGAGCGAATCATACCAATAGTAATATGCCTTCGACAGCCTCCACGGTGTACAAACGTTAGCGATGACCGCATCCTCCCGCCTCCGAGGACGCAAGAACCCATGATCACAAGCAGAGCCCACGTACTTCGGCCCTCGCCTCATGAGGCCTTCGAAGGAATCTTTGGAGACACGATCGAGGCCATGAACGATTCTTTTTCCTCGCGGCCCAGGAAGAGCGCTCTTCGGTATGGCAGACCCCCTGCTGAAATTCCAGGCAGAGGGGACCGTACCCCAGAAACGTATGCTGGTGACCATTTTGTGAATACACTGCCTGGTCTCCACGGCGTATGTGATAACATCGTCGGTGTCCAACCCAGCCCGACTGTGATGGGATGCGGCCTCCGCAGGCGTATGCAAGGATAACTACCATAGCTCAAGGGGTAGAGACCATGTCGGTACGCTCTGTCGCTTCTTTGCCCGCTTGGTGTTTTTCTGCAGTTGTTCCACGTCGATGGCGGCCTGCATCTATGCCCCCTGCATGCGTTCAGGTCTGGATTCAGCCGTCGGTGGAGGTCGCCGCCACATCTGTTGCAGGTCCAGCATCTCCTGCCATACAGCTTGGCGCGCGGCGAGTCCTCCTTCATTGCCTGCCAGTGCCACGACACCCATCCGCTCATCAGTACTCAGTAGCATGTCATCCAGTCTGGTATGGTCTCTCCGAGCCCGTCCGTACCGCCCACCTGCCAGTCGGAGCGAGAGACGGTTAGTTGCTGCAAGGTCTCTGACATGCCAGGCTTGCCATCTCTCTTGCACGAGCTGTTCCTGCTTCCGTCGCCTCCCATCGCGAAAGATCCGTTTGCAAGTGGCCGAGATGGTCTTGAGCTCTTCGCAGCAGGCAGTGACGCAATCGTCAGACATGCTAGGTTCCACACCAGCCCTCAACTCGCGACGCATCCTCAGCAACTCCAATATGTGCGCAGCCATCTGGGACCTCCTGGACTCGGGCCTGGCCCCTCTCGAAAACTGTGTGCACCGACATCTCTAAACACCCCATCCAGATGATACAACGTCACATCAGGTCCCGGCGCACTGTGCTCCCATGCCTGCCACTGAGCTGCCAATCTAAGCTTCGCTTCTCTCACGAATCCCTCCCTCAGCGGTCCACCTCGAATCTGTTTCATCAACTTACCCCGACCCCAGTGGATCTGTCTGTACTCACGGCCGTCAGGTGAGGCTGAGGCTGCGGGGCCGTGCGATGTTACCACATGCCGTGTTCTCATTTCCAGTAATACAGGAATGTGATTGCGATAATCTCTTACATTTGATGGCCTGGACCCGCTTGCCCAGGCTGTGTATAGGGCTCGCCATCATGACATACTCACTCCAATCCAGCGGTATGGCCACGAAGTCAATCATTGACGCTCCACGAGCCGAACCGTAGAATGTTGGCGTACCAGATCGCGCAGTCGTCGGCACAAACAGCCCATATGCTTCAAGACCCTCTCTGAACGACTCACCAGCACCTAGTCTGTGATATTCTCGCGTTGGACCTGGTCCGACCGCCGTCGTAGGTATTTCTTGCCAGTCTCCATTCAGCTTCGATATTAATTCCCAATCCGTCAGTCACATCCCCCATTACAATCGGCGATGCTGTCCTCGGAAGCACCCTAAGTATTTCCCACAGCCAGTCTTTATCTGCTTGCATGCGGGCAGGTACTGCTTGACTTGATTCGGCTTGTTCGGCTTGGGTGGGACATAAACTACGACCACATAAACATAGATACCCACCTGTCGCAATCTCCACAGCCAACCCTCGTCCGTGTAGAGCCCTCGGAGGAAGATCGATGCGACGGATGTGCCTTTGAGTCAAAGCGACGGCACAGCCCGCGGCCCGATTGGAGAATCCCCTTCTTCGCCAGCCTGCGTGCACGACGACTCGAGAGGCCACCCTGGAGACTCGACAGCCGTCCTCTTCAGTCGCCTTTGATCTGCGTGCCAGCCATACCGACACTGTCAGACCGATCGAACTCGTCTCCTCGAGCATGCGATCCCCGCTGGCGTGCCGCGGGTTGCAGAAGAGAGTGGGCAGAACCCGAGACGACATCGGGGCTGGCCCGATAGCCCAAAGGTATGTCAGGAGAGAGCAAGCCACAGGAGTGCTTTCGTATGCCTGCTGGGCTGAGCAGCGCTGCCGGCACAGAGCGGCAGCTGGAGGAGGAGGAGGAGGAGGACTCTTTCGGGACTCGTTTCCAGCTGAGCAGCGCTATCGCACGTTTGCCTCCAGCCGTTCCTTCCGCACTGCTTGGAGAGTGTGTACAGCTTGTCGATGGCGCCAGTCCTCAAACAGTTGGGTGTTTGGGGCATGGTTTGTGGCCAGCTCACAGCTGTCTCCTAACCGGCCCATCTATGCTCGATTCCTGATTCTTGGCAATCGTCTGCCGTGAACGTGGTGCGTTTGTATTGCAATCGTCTGCCGTGAACGTGGTGCACTCATATACACCCTCGTGCCCAGGATCGACACATACACCTGCGAATCCAAGCGCGCACTCAGCGAGGGCCGCGGTCCCGGTTTCGAGATGCCGCGTACGTCGAGGCGCAGCAGCGAGCCCAGGCGGTGTCTCTTCTCACACCCTGGTCGATAGAGGGCCTGATGAAGCTCCTCAGTCCTGCTTCCTGCAGCTGCTGCTACTCCCACTCCCCCCCTCTCTGCCTCCCGCCCCCTGTTCCCGCCTCCTCCTCCTCGAACCCCTCCTTTGCCGATCCTCCCTCCTGCTCCCGCTCCTGCTCGTCCCCCGCCTCTTCTCCCCCCTCCTCCCCCTCGCTCCTGCCCTCCGTTCCACCACCGCGCTCCTCCCTCATCAGTCCTGACTTCTCCATCTCATTCTCGGGTCGAACGAAAGGGGGGGTGGACTGGGCGGAGAGGGGGGGGGAAATTGTTGCTACACGCGGCTGTTTTGCGCCCAACCTCCAGGCGCTCTCATCTATGCGTGGGCGCCCCCCTGCGCCGTGATGGCACCCTCCACCTTCCGTCCGATCCAATCCTCCGTCTCCCCTCCCCCCCCCCCTCCCCCCCCCCGCCTCCCTCCTCGTCGTCTCCCTCCCTTGGGGGGGGTCGGAGGCGAGGAGAAGGAGGGAGGAGGACGGAGGCGATGAGGAGGTGTGGAGGGAGGAGGGGGGGGAGGGGGGGGAGGGGGGGGGGGAGGGCGGAGGCGGAGGCGAGGAGTGATGATAAGGAGAGGAGGAGGAGGAGGAGGAGGAGGAAGAGGAGGAGGAGGAGGGGGAGGAGGAGGAAGGTGGAGGGAGGGAGGGAGGGAGGGAGGGAGGAGGAGGAGAAGGAGGAAGTGGACGAGGGGACGCCGCCGCCCTCCGCTGCCCACTCTTGCGTGCGCGCGCTCGCAGGTCTCCCGTGCGTCGTACGCCGCCTGGACCGCCGGGCTGTCTCTCTCTCTCTCTCTCTCTTTCTTTCTTTATTTCTTTGTTTCTCTCTCTCTCTCTCTCTCCCTTGTTCTTTCTCTCTCTCTCTCTCTCTCTCTTTCTCACTCTCTCGTTCTTTATTTCTTGCTCTCTCTCTCTCTCTCTATCTCTCCTTCTCTCTCTCTCTCTTCCTCTCTCTCTCTCTCTCTCTCTCTCCCTTGCTCTTTTTTGTTACTCTCTCTCTCTCTTGCTCTCTCATTCTCTCTTTCTTTCTTGCTCTCTCTCTATCTCTCCTTCTCTCTCTCTCTCTCCAGACGGATGAGGAGGAGGAGGAGAAGGAGGAAGAGTGTTAAGAGGGGGTGACCCAGATAGGGGGGTGAAGGAAGGGGCCCTGCAGCGGCTCGGAGCCATCGGGGGTCACCCCCATTCAGGTCACCCCCCATTGACACCCGCCCGCGAGAACATGGAGGAGGATGATCGGGCCGGACGAAAGGGGGGGATTGGGAAAGGGGGGGTTACGAAATGTGCTGCACGCAGCTGGCTTCGGCCCCACCGAGGGGCCCATTCCTCGTTACATTGCCGCCTCCGGCGCAGGGAGGCAATCAGCTGCGCCAGCTGATTCTCAAACCCCCCCTTTGGTATCCTCCCCTTTCGCCCGACCCGAAACATGGAGGAGGAGGAGGAGGAGGCGAGGAAGAGGATTCACGCTCGCCAGCTCGAACAGGTCGGCGGGCTCCGTCCACTCCCACTCTCCCTCCCATGGCAGAGGAGCGCTGGTTCTCTTGGACGCTGGGCCTGTCTCGTGCCCCCGCTCAGCACGCCCCAGGGATCGGCACGAGCGAAATGCCTACGGAAATCATGAAAATCGCAGACCGACTGCAGCTCCTGTCCATTTTGAACCGGACTCCCTGCCTCCTCCTCCTCCTCCTCCTCCTCCTCCTCCTCCTCCTCCTCCTCCTCCTCCTCCTCCTCCTCCTCCTCCTCCTCGGTGTCGCCGCGGACGTTCTCAATTTGAGACAGAAGGCCGTCTGGCCAACGGCGGCTGCTGGCGGCGTTAATAGGGCGCCACATGCGAACCCTACCCCTACCCCCACGATTTCTGAGGGGGAGGGTGGGCTACGGTTCGCATGTGGCCCCCAGGTTAAGGCAAGTTCTGATGCTCATCATCGTACCCCTTTCTCCCGTACCCGTTTCGGGTGTCCCTGGGTGTCCACAGGGGCACGGCAAGGCAAGGGGCGCCCGAATCCGCCGGGGGGGGCGGGGCCTGGAAGGCCGGCGCGGCGGGCTGGGGCCCTCAGCTCTGCACGAACGAGATGGGCGCAGGAAGAGTGGGTACAGTGCCCAGCAGCGGATCTTGTTCAGTTTGAACAGGACTCGCTGTCCACGCCGCCGCGGCCTGTGTCCATCTGAGGCAGAAGGCCGCTTGCCCAACAGCGGCCGCTGTTGGTTCGGGACCACATGTGTTGTTGGGCATTGTACCCATTCTTTCCGTACCCATTTCGGACGTCCACAACAGTCGCAGATGTGGAACTCGTGGTCAGTGCTGGGTGTGGTGTAGGAGTGCTTGCTCCAAATTGCTCCACGGAGCGCTGTCTCGTGCCAGCGCAAACCATCGGGGATCGGCGGTTCGAAGATGGGGTCCTGAGGGATGGGGTCCTGAGGATAGGCAGGGATCCAAGGGGTGGATTTACGTTGTTTGACGCACCTCGTCCTCAGGACCCCATGTCTCAGGACCCAATCTTTGAACCACCGAGGGGAGGTGGGTACGCTCGGGAGCGTTTGGAGGTGGTGCTGCAGAGGTGGTGCGCAGAGGTGGTGCTTCAGGCCGCGCACTGCAGCTCGAGGGCAGGGCGGGGCCGTCCCGCTCACGGGGCCGAGGGCGGCGGCGAGCCCAGCACCGAAGGGCCTGACGGTTTGTCGCCAATCGACTCAAGTCGTCGGCGAGCGAGGGGGAGAAGTGAGACGGAGAAGGCCTTCTCACTTCCAGCGTTGCATCGTTTCGCCCTCGGGATCCGTTCCAGCGGCTGCGCCTCGCCGAGAGCGTTCCGGGGGTGCCCGGATCGTTCCGAACGGCCGCCGGAAACCCGAGTTATGGCCCATAAAACCACATTTGGCGGCGAGCCCGGGGGGCAGTTATAAGGAGAAGGCCTTCTCAGAAGGCGGCGGGACTGCTCAGAAGCCCTCTGGCCTCCGAGAAGCTTTCTGCGTCTCCGGGGAAGGCTCAGAAAGCTGCTCAGAAGGCTTGGGGACTTCCGAGCTTTCCGAGGAGGTCCGCCCCTTCTCACTTCCCCCCAGCGCTCACTGCCAATTGAAGCCGGTCATCTGATTGAGAGACCTCCCCTCGAAAAGCTGGGCCGGCGTTTCTCATCCAATTTGCTTGAAGGCTGGCCCAGTTTCTTGAGCACGTTCGCCCCCTCCCGCGTGAACAACAGATGATTGTCCAGGTTTACTTGAAGAGCTTTCATGAAAGCTGGCCCAGGTTTATCAAAATTCTCTTGATAAAATGTTCGGCCATAGCGAGGATCAGGCTTGCACGCTATACACTTCGCGGTCCAGAGGCGTCCATGTGCCGAGCCTTTTCGAGCTTCCCGTCCCGCGGAGCGGGGCGACACGCCATCACCTCGCAAGGCATGGCGTGTCGCCAAGGCCGCCAGGACGACACGCTATAGGATAATAGGATAGTCGGCTCGGGCTGCGAGGTGAGCGAGGGGGGAGGGCACTGCGGGGCCGTAGGATAGTTCGGCTCGGGCTGCAAGGTGAGCGGGGGGGGAGGGCACTGCGGGGCTCAGGGCTCGGGGCTCGGGCTGCGGGGTTCGGGGCTCGGGCTGCGAAGCTGCTGCTGCGGATGATGATGACGATGACGATGACGATAATGATGATGATGATGATGATGATGATGATGATGATGATGATGATGATGATGATGATGATGATGATGATGAGGAGGAGGAGGAGGAGGAGGAGGAGGGGGAGGAGGAGGAGGAGGATGATGGCGATGTTGTTGTTGATGATGATGATGATGATGTTGATGATGCTGATGCTGATGCTGCTGCTCATGATGATGATGGTGATGATGGTGATGGAGATGGTGATAGTGATTAGGACGGTGATGGCGGCGTTGGTGGGGATGCTGACGATACTGATGATGATGCTGATGCTGATGATGCTGATGCTGATAAGGATGATGCTAATGATGATGCTGATGATGATGCTGATGCTGATGAATCTGATGCTGCTGATGATAGTGATGATGGTGCAGAAGATGCTGATGATACCCATGCAGCTGATGATGATGCTGTTGACATTGTTGCTGCTGGTGATGATGATGACGATGATGGTGGTGGTTATGATGATGCTGACGATTATGTTGACGATTATGCCGATGATGAATGACGACAATGATGATGTTGATGCTGATGATGCCGAAGATGAAGAAGATGCTGATGCTGAAACTGATGGTGATGATGCTGATGCTGCTGATGCTGATGCTGACATGTACGTTGATGTTGCTAATGTTGTTGATGATGATGATGATAATGATAATGATGATGATGATGATGATGATGATGATGATGATGATGATGATGATGATGATGCTGTTGATGATGATGATGATGCTGATGCTGATGATGATGACGATGATGATGATGTTGATGATATTGATGATGCTGATGATACTGATGATGATGATGCTGATGATGATGCTGATGATAATGCTGATGATGCTGGTGATGATGGTGATGATGAGGATCATGTTGTTGATGATGAGGACTATGATGGTGATGATGAGGATGATGAGGATGATGAGGATGAGGATGAGGATGAGGATGAGGATGAGGATGATGAGAGGGGAGGAGAGGAGAGGAGAGGAGAGGGGAGGAGAGGAGGGGAGAGGAGAAGAGTGGAGAGGAGAGGAGAGGAGAGGAGAGGAGAGGAGAGGGGAGGCGAGAAGGAGGTGGAAAGGAGGGAGGAGTGGAAGATGGGGGACGGAGGAGGCGACGAGGAGGAGGAGGAGGAGGAGGAAATGAAGAATACGAAGAAGGAGGAAGGGGGGGCAGCAGGAGGTTGGCGTTCCGAGGGGGCAGCTAGAGCAGGAGGGGGAGGATGCGCGGAAAGCATCAGAGGGGGGGCGGGTAGAGCAGCAGTGGAAGGAGGGGGCATGAGCAAAATGAATAGGCGGAGGATGTTCGAGGAGTAGGTGGAGGATGTGGAGGTAGGAGCAAGTGAGGGGACGGGGAAGAGTGAGGACGAACTCACGGAGGAGGGGGGTGAAACAGTGGGAAGAGGAGGAGGCAGGATGGGATGGTGTGCGAAGTGATGATGGGGACGAGCAGCATGAGATGGCATGTGAGGTTGCATAGAGGAGTAGGAGGAGGAGGAGGAGGAGGAGGAGGAGGAGGAGGAGGACGAGAACCCAGGAGAAAGAGGAGCAGGGGGTCAGAAAGAGGGCGGGAAAGGGGAGATGATCGAGAGGGCCGAGTTGGGGGAGGAATCGAGCGGGGGCGATGATTGGCCAGCGCTTTGCTTTGCAGCACGCCCATGCTCATGTCAGCCCGGTCCGTCTGTCAGCTTTCGTGGCGGAGCTTGCCAGCTCGACACAGGACGTCGCGTGTGGCAGTTTCGCCCCCCCCCCTCTGCGGCCGCCGTCTCTGCCCTCGTCCCGCTCTTGCACGCTGGCCAATTCGCTGTCCGGTGCCCCCGTCTAGCTCTATCGCTGGTGTAGCCAAGTCTGCCTCGCCGCCGACGGCAAAAGCGTGGCAGTTTCGTGTCGTGCCGACGCGGTGGCGACCCCAGGAACGGGCGCTCCAGGCCGAGCGCTGCCACTGGCCAAGAGTCGGCCGACGTCGAGCGATCCGCGCTGTCGGGGAGCCGCGAGCGCTCGAGGCTCGAGCGCATCGGAGCCAGCGCTCAAAAGGCTCGAGCGCATCGTCACGGCACGATCCTGCCGTAGACGTAGTTCCTAGGCGCGGTCGGATGCGCGCCACTCGGGCCTCGTGGGCTGTGGGGTGCCGTCCCCGTCGGTGTCGCTGCCAAGTGGCGATTGGCCAGGGGGGCAGGACCAGGGTGAGTATGATGGTGCAGTGGACAGGGGGGAGGCGGAGGATGTGGGGAGGAGAAGAGCGGGAGCAGGAGAAGAGGGAAGAGCAGGAGGAGGAGAATGAGACGGGACACCTTGCCTGGAGAGCTACAGGACTCGGGGGAGTTTTCTCCTGACGACGGAAACTGGGCCACCGCCGCGAGTAAATGTTGGTTTGCAGCGCCAGACAGCTTCCACCACATACTTTGCACCACATTGATCACATCGTGTAGCTTGCGTCGTGGGCTTGTCCCACATAGCCTGCACCACTTCGTTTCCAACACGTTCTTTCCACCACATAGCTACTTTACACCACAGCTTGCACCGAGCAGCTTGCGACGAGGTGGGTTTGCACCATATAGCTTGCTTAACACCGCTTCCACCACAAATTGTGCACCACATACCTGACACCACATAGCTTGCGACGATGCGGGCTTGCACCACAACCAGGAGAATCGTGAACACGCTTCAAGCGTAGTCGCATGGGAACCACACCAAGCAAAGCAAACCGTAATGACGTCCCAGGCGAAGCCGTGCCGAAACCAAGCCAAAGTGGGTCATTTGTGAGATCGCCTGATGCGAGTACGCGCCGAAACGAACTCGCACCAAGCAACGTGTGAGGACGTCTCAGGCGAAACTGGCCCCAAGCCAAACGGAACCAGGAGCCAAAACAGTCAACTTTGAGAATGTCTTAGGCCGGGCGCCCGGCCCGGCCAAACTAAACCAAATCAGGCAAAGTCTGAGGACGTCTCAGGCGAACCGCCACTTACCAGGCTCCACCCATTGATTTTACCAAAATTGGGTTCAAGGCATGAGTGAGCCCATGGGGTCCCCCCGCAGGGGGTTCTCTTATTAGAACTGTATGGGAGTGGGAGAGGGGGTCCAAAAGTTTCCCATATTGATTGCAACGTGTATCGACTTATTGATTTTTGCGAGCTCTTGCGCGGCCAGACACTCTCGCGCCCTTCCCGCGACTTATCCAAAAACAGTAGACTTCCATGGCTGGGCCGTCATCAGGTGTACACGGCTGGGGCGCACCGACATGTTTTTGGCTAGGGCGCCACAGCATGCATTTTGTCTTCTGGGTGTTCTTGAGGCAGCGGTGTCGCGTTGGGAGAAACATTCCCGATGCTGTAGGAATGAAGAGGAGGATTAGGAGGAGGAAGAGGAGGAGGAGGAGGAGGAGGAGGAGGAGGAGGAGGACGCGACGACCAACACAGCTTGTCCTGAACAGAGTCGCAAGTGCGCGGTGCCAAAGTGACTCGTGCAAGCGGGAGCCCGCTCCCTCCTACCAGAGATAGAGCAAGAGGCAGCATGACGATGATGCGGAGAGGAAACAAGGACAGCGTGGATGAAGGAGGCATTCTCTGAGGGGCGTGGGGCTGGACCGCGACCGAGTGGACCGCGGAAAAGGAGGATGGGGAGGATGGAGCCGGAGGAGGAGTAACAGGGAGGGAGAGGAGGAGGATGAGGAGGAGGACGACGACGACGACGACGAAGCGGAGGAGGGAGTGTTTGGGTCAGCGAGCTGTTGTGCGCGCAGCCTGCGCCAGTGCGCTGAAAGAGCTCAAGAGGCCCTCTGCCGGGCAGTTGACTTTTTGTTCGACCTGTGCTCCGAAAAGGGCCACGAGAAGGTGCAAGGTAGAGGCCGCAAAAGGTCCTGCTGCCTCGTTGGGAACGGTCTTAGAGCCCGTCGCGACTTCCCGCCGTCAGACCATGCCACCATGCCGTGTGTTCTTTCCCGGAACCGGGAGTGGAGCGGCCACGGCACGGTGCATGGCGTCTCCGCGCGCTTCGCTGTAGCATCAGAGGCACAGAGGAACCTTGCGCGCCACGGAGTTAGTGAGTGAATGTGGGCCTTGTGCCCTCCCAAACGGGGGCAGGGTGAGCTTCGAATGTGTGAGCCCAGCCCTGAAACACACACACACACACACACGACTTGAAGGAGCGGCACCTGTGTCTGGGAGCGAAGCTCGCTAAGGTTTGAGGCTCGCCTGGTATGGGCAGGGAGGGCAAGGAAGCCAAGAGGAGGTTCAAACTGTCCTCCTGGCCAGATCCGCGCGGCTGAATTAGGCCTGCAACGCGTGATTGCCACATGATGAGCACTGCAGATGGGATGTCGACGGGGATTCTTTCGCAATTGATAGGCAGTTCAGTTGAAAGTCTTCTCACCCAGGGACCGCTCTCCACTGCGTTCCCGTGCATTCGGAGAGCAGGACTGGGTGCATGTGTGTCAACTCTGCTGAGACGGGGGGAGGAGGCAGGCGTTCAGTCGACCCCTTCTGCAGGGGATGGGCCCGCGACAAGGAGGGGCATATCAGCTTGCCGTCGCATCCGCGTAGTAGGGAACAGAAGGATTGGACGACGACGACTAATAGGCTTGGCGGATGCGCCGCCTAACCCCAGTCCGTGGCGAGGACTGAGTGCTTGGTCTTGCTCTCCATTGTGCCGCCCGTGCAGTCTGAACACGGATGATGTTAGTGATCCGTAGACTCGCTAACGGTATGTTCGCTACCGGCCAAGTATGAATATCAACTGTAGGAATGCGTGGCTCGTGGCCAAACCAAATGTAGAAACGCGTCGTTCTTGCTTTCCTATAATTCGCTGCGTCGTTTTCGCCCGATGCATTCGCACATTTGAAATGTAGGAAAATGTGGTTCGTGGTTTCTACAATTTGTCCTGCGCGAGCTCGGCGTCACAATAGTCGGATTCCCAACATCGCCATTAATCAACATCGCCGTTAGCGCGGCCCTGGGTGATGCCAGTGTGCCTGCTGACGTTGGAACTGTCGATGGGGCCCGGAGGGGGCGCGCAGGCCAGCCCAGGCCTACCATTGCCGCGTCTTCCGATTCGAGAGCGCCCGTGAGGCCAGGATCCACGAGTGCAGGACTTGGTGAGCGTATTTTTTTTGCAGATCGGCGCGGGCACTCGCACCCCCCCTCCCATGACGTGGATCTTGGCTGTTTTTTGGCGCCTGCTTCGTGCAGGTGGAGTCCCTCCCCCACAAGGGACGCCCTGTCGCAAGCAGTCGCAGTAAGCAGAGGTCCGGAGCCAGGCACCCCCCCCCTTCCCTCTCCCTTTCCGCCCAATGTCGAAACGCCGAATACCGATTCGGGAACGCCCGTGAGGCCAAGCAATCATCCAGGAGTGCAGGACGTTCTTTTCCAGCACAATGTTGGGAGAAGAAGGGGGCAAACAACAAAAAACACGAGTACAGGACTTGGAGAAGACCGACTGCCCAAGTAGTACATGGACCCTACCAGTGCTGAGCTGCGTGGAGCGCACGGATGGGCGCGAGGAGCGAGGAGGTACGATCACATCGGTGGAGATGTGCTGGTTCTGGTCCGTCAAAGGGCAGTGTGCAGATCTGCTGCGTGCACGGCCCTTCGGGAGCTGGCAGTGTTAGCTTCGGGCGCGCATGCGAGTGACGTCGTCCAAGGAAGGGTTCGCTAGGTGGGGGCGGGTGCGGGGGTGAAGTCGGCAGGGCGAGGAGGAGGGATGGAGTTAAAATGAGGGATGAGGAGGTGGAGGAGGAGGAGGTTGAGGAGGTTGAAGAGGGTTACGAGGAGGCTTAAGAGGGGGATAGGGAGGAGGAGGAGGAGGAGGAGGAGGAGGAGGAGGAGGAGGAGGAGGAGGAGGAGGAGGAGGAGGAGGAGGAGGAGGAGGAGGAGGAGGAGGAAGGACGAGAGGCAGAAGGGAGGAGACGAGAGAGATGGGCACGACGAGGAGGAGGAGGAGGAGGAGGAGGAGGAGGAGAAAACGAGCGGCAGAAGGGAGGAGGGACGAGAGAGATGGGCACGACGAGGAGGAGGAGGAGGAGGAGGAGGAGGAGGAGGAGGAGGCAGATGAGGATGATGATGATGATGATGATGAGGAGGAGGAGGAGGAGGAGGAGGAGGCAGATGAGGAGGAGGAGGAGGAGGAGGAGGAGGAGGAGGAGGAGGAGCAGGAGGGGAAGGAGGATGCGGAGGATACAGAGCAGGATACACAGGAGGATACAGAGAAGGAGGAGGAGGAGGAGGAGGAGGAGGAGGAGGAGGAGGAGGAGGAGGAGGCAGAGGAGGAGGAGCAGGCGGAGGGGAAGTGGGGGGAGCAGGAGGAGAAGGATGAGGAAGGACGAGAGGCAGATGGGGAAGGAGGGATGACGAGAAGAGAAGGGAAGGGAGGGGGAGAGGCGGGACGAGGGAGGAGGGACGAATCAGGAGGGGGGAAGGCGAGTAGGGACTCCCGCAGGGAGGACACCGCCCCAGATTGTTTTTGTTTTGCACGAGCACGCCTGCCCGCGGAGGATCGCCGAGGCGCTGCTGTGGGCCGACGGCGGCCTGCTGCTGCGGCAGTTCGGGCTGATCCGGGAGAGCAGCGCGGCCGAGCTGCTGAGGCCCTCCCCGGGCCGTCCTGCCGGCAGCCCGCCGGGGCTGGCCCCGCCCTCCTCCGCTGTCCCCCGCAGAACGCTGAGCCGCATGCTCAGCATCGTTTGCAGCTCCGCGCGGATCTCTTGGATCGGCGCCGGATGTCTTGGACTGGCAGCTTTCGGCGCTGGGCTCCCCCCGCTGGTGGCGCCATCCGGCGCCGCCCCTGGCGCTCTCCGCGCGCCAAGGCCGGGAGGCCCGGCGCCGATCCAAGAAGGCCGCGCGGAGCCCCACTGGTTGATGCTGAAGCAGTTATTGCTTTTCAAGCCCCAGCCTCCTGCATCTTCAGGAGGGGAAGCAACACACAGACACAATTCATCGTCGATCCCCAGGAAAATGTTGGGAAAATATGGGAAGTCTGGGGGAAGACGAAAATCCCTTCAAAGATGGAAGAATACGGGGACTCCTGTTATTTGTGTGTAGACATGTGTGTGTGTGTGTGTGTCCTTGGGCCCCTTCACACCTGTTCGCCTGCAACTCCCCCGTTCTGTCCTTCCTCCCCCGATGCCGAGCCGATGCGTTGCGCGGCCCTCTCCGACCCCACCCGGGAGGCCTGGAGAGCCGGGGCCAGATCGGGCGAGGAGGAGGAGGAGGAGGAGGAGGAGGAGGAGGAGGAGGAGGAGGAGGAGGAAGCCCTCCCTCGTGCTGTCCCGCCCTCTCCCCTCGCCCAACTCTCCCCTCGCCCCTCCGCCTCCCCCCCGCTCTCCGCCCTCGGCCCCCCCTGTGCTGCTGCAGCTGGCATATGCTCGGCGATGCTCCAAGTGCACCCAAAAAACTGTTCACCCCTGCGTCCCTCCCTACGTTTCTCCTCGCTGCTCTTTCATCTCCTCCTCCCTCCGTGTTCATCCCATCCTACCTGTACATATATATATATATATAGAGAGAGGGAGAGAGAGCTAGAGAGAGAGAGAGAGAGAAACAAAAAACAAACAGTGGCACATATCTATATCTATATATATATATACATAGAGAGAGAGGACACACAAAACAAAAACAAAAACAAACAAAGATAATAAAAACAAACCTGAGGAGGGGCAGGGCATGATGGGGTGGGTACGCCAGGGGAGGGAGGAATGGAAGTGAACGTGGACGGAACAGGATTTCGAAACTAATCCGGGAGAGAGGGGGGAGGGAGGTGGGGGGCCAGCAGGGGCATGCGAGGCTGGGAGGAAGACCAATGCAGCCCAGCTGATCGTTGGGGTGAGAGTGAGAGGGCAGGGACCAGGACGATAGCGCAGTGGAGGAGGAGGAGGAGGAGGAGGAGGAGGAGGAGGAGGAGGAGGAGGAGGAGGTGGAGAAGGGGGGCGAGGAGGATTACAAGGACGAGGACGAGAGCGACGAGGAGGAGGACGAGGAGGACCAGGGACGGAGGGGAAGGCGGTGGAGGAGGGATGCCGAGGACTGCGAGTTGGAGGAGAAGGTGCACGTCGATGAGGAGCAGTGGTGTCGCGGATGACGAGGAAGGCGAGGAGGACGAGGTCCCAGGAGGCAGACCAGTGAAGTTCCTGCTCCGCCGCCACTTCGCGAGGCAGCTGCCTGGCATGCTGGACAAGCTGCAGTCCCAGGCCCATCGCTGGTTGGGAGGAGGAGAGGCAGACGCCCTCACCAGCCAGGCTTCGGCGTCGCGATGCCCTGCTCCCCCCTGCAATGCCGGTGCCCCGGGGTCGATGCCGGGTCCCGCAAGAAGCGACGGCCCACGGATGAAGAAGCAACAACCATGTGGACGACGCCATGCAACACAAACGGTGGAGGTCTGGTCAGGTACGAGTTAAATCAGAGCGTGAATTACCTACCCCGCTTTCGCTTCCAGGCGAAACCAAGCCATACCACGCGCCTCCTCGTCAAGCGGCCTGACCAGTACAGGCTGCAATTTGGCATCGTTTGGTATCTCTTGGAAGCGAGGGTGGTCAAAAGCGAGGTAGGTTTGTTTTCCCCCTGTTAAAGCATCACCTACCTTTCAACTTTCGGAGGTGTCCTTATGGCACCAGGTATAACCGTGGAGTCTCGCCCCAGCACCCCGCCCATGCGTTGCCAACGCTGAGAGGTGGATGGGACTTGGCGGCATTGTGTGGGCGAGGCTTCTGTTATCTTCCCACTGATAATCATAATGACCCTGTCTTGGCTGTATTTGTTTGTCTGAAGTTTGTTTGGGCGTTCTTCGAACCGAAAGCTGCTGGGCATCGTCCCCACTGATGCTGCCACTTCCCCATGCGCCACTATCGCTTGATCAGCTTAGTTAACACGACGGACATCAGTTTCGCAAGGTCCTTCTCTTCTCTTGAATGCTTGTGTGGGACCCCTGCTTCCGCGCAGAATGGTGCACAGGCCGATCCGTAATCGGCTTTTCTCCTCCTGCCTCGTGCGCTCGTATATTTTACCCGAGCGGCGTGTGTTCTCGCTCGGTCCCGCAGGGATAACGGCGTGCGGGCGGGGACGACGGGGACGCGCTCTCTCTGTTCGTCGCACCATCACTCTCGTTTCGTCACACCAGCACTTCTGTTCCTCGTCGCGCTCCTATTCCTCATATTCCGTTGTAGTATTCGTTGATCGTGGTTTCCCATTGTCTATTCTAAGGCCAGGAGCCACTGTCGACAAAGAGAAACAGGAGCAAGCAGTGGATGAAAGAGCGCATGTCCAAAAACACGAGCGTTGAGTTTGGCAGAAGCGCCACTATGCAGCATTGGATGGAGAAATAGCCTCACCAGTTTGCGTGCTCGCAGGAAATAGCGCGCTTGCTTGCACGGTACATGTGCTCATGTGTGTTTGCGTGAGAGCACGTATTTGCATGCATTTTGCGTGCATGCGCCCGCACATTCTTTTACACTCTAGAAGAGGCCCAGCGGCGAACGAATGCGTACGTGCACGCAACGCCGTTCGTGTTGGTTTCCTATGCGTTGCCCGCGCTCCACCGCCGCGCCCGCTTTACTGTCGCGTTTCGACCGTATTATGCCCGATTTATCTATCACGCGCTCGTCTGCCCCCGTCGCGTCACCGAGATGGGACCAACCGCTTGCACAGCCGATCGAAATCTTGTCTCTTTCGCTCAACGCAGCTTTCTCGCATGACCCCACATTATTGGCGCACCAGGTCTGTTCAGGAGATGGCGCTCACGGAAGGTGGCACGTTGCTCAGGCATAGTTGTGGAATTTCCCGTCGTATTTGCAGGGCGCCGCTTTGGATCGTGGCCTTTGCCATTCGCACTAAACGTGTTGCTCTGGAGCCCAGGAGCGGCGACCCGTTTGCCAAAAGACGGCCAGAAGATCCGAGACGCACAAACAATTCGTCGATTGTGCAACGCATGTGAGGGCTGCTACTACTACTACTACTACTACTACTACTACTACCACCACCACCACTACTACTACTGCTACTACTACTACTACTACTACCACTACTACGGCTACTACCACTACTACCACTACTACCACTACTACCACTACTACTACTACTACTACTACTACTACTACTACTACTACGACTACTACGACTACTACGACTACTACTACTACTACTACTACTGCTACTACTACTACTACTGACACCACTACTACTACTACTACTACTACTACTACTACTACTACTACTACTATTACCACGACTACTACTACGATTACGGCTACTACGGGTATTTATTTAAGGTTACGGGTAGTAGTACTATTATTATTACTAATACTACTTACTTGCTTATTTACTTACTTCTTACGATTACGACTACTACTACTACTACTACTACTACTACTACTATTACTACTACTACTACTATTACTACTACTACTACTGCTACTACTACTACTACTGTTACTATTACTACTGCTACGACTACTACCACTTCTACGGCTACTGCGGCTACTACCACTACTACTGCTACTGCTACTACGACGACGGCGACTACTACTACTACTACTACTACTACTACTATTACTACTACTACTACTACGACTACTGACACTACTATTGCTACTACTATTACT